GGTCACCCCGAGGACACCAATATATCCTAGTGGTAATTGACTACGCTATCCGATACCCTGAGGCCGTTTCTCTAAGAAGTACCTCAGCTTGTGTTATTGCCCAAGAACTGTTGGGGGCTTTTGCCAGGGTGGGCTTTCCCAAGGAAATTTTGACAGATCAAGCCACTAATTTCATGAGTCAGGTGATGAGGCAGATGTGGGACCTGTTAAGGATAAGGCCTTTACAATGGTATATCACCCACAAACCAATGGTCTAGTGCAGGGGTCGGCAACCCACGGCTCTAGAGCCTCATGTGGCTCTTGAATGCCTCTGCTGCGGCTCTGTCGCTCAAAATACACGTCACAGCTGCCGATCTGCGACCCACACAGCACAGCACAGCCGCCGATCTGCAACCCGTGCCCACACAGCACAGCCACCAATCTGCTACACTTGCCAGCACAGCACAGCTGCCGAACTGCGACCCGCACAGCACAGCACAACTGCCGATCTGCTACACATGCCGGCACAGCACAGCCGCCGATCTGCTACATGCGCCGATTTACTGAGCTTCTTCCCCGGTAGGCCAACCATGGATACATTGAAGAAAAGAAAAATTTCTGAAGAAAAGAGAACGTTTAACAGTACGTGGGTAGATTCATTTGCTTTTACTGCTGACGAGACTGGTTTACCAGTATGCTTAATAAGCGGTGAGAAATTGGCAAACAACAAAAAGTCAAATGTCGCAAGACATTTTCAGAACAAACACACAGCCTTTGCTGAAAAATATCTGGATGGAGATGAGAGGAAAAAAAAGTCATTTCAGAACTGATGCAAAAGGTTGATTTGAGCAAAAATCATTTCAAGAAGTGGATTAAGTCTGCAAATTCAACTACTTATGCTAGTTTTGCGGCCACTCAGGAAATAGTAAGGCATGGGAAGCCGTTCACAGATGGAGATCATATAAAAGAATCATTCATTGATTTCATAAATGCAACACACTACAGTTTTTTATACATAGCATAAAGGTAAAAAATGATACAGTATATCACAGAAGTGAGTACACCCCTCACATTTTGTAAATATTTTATTATATCTTTTCATGTGACAACCCTGAAGAAATGACACTTTGCTACAATGTAAAGTAGTGAGTATACAGCTTGTGTAACAGTGTAAATTTGCTGTCCCCTAAAAATAACTCAGCACACAGCCATCAATGTCTAAACCGTTGGCAACAAAAGTGACTACACCCCTAAGTGAAACTGTCCAAATTGGGCCCAAAGTCAATATTTTGTGTGGCCACCATTGTTTTCCAGCACTGCCTTAACCCTCTTGGGCATGGAGTACACCAGAGCTTCACAGGTTGCCTCTGGAGTCCTCTTCCACTCCTCCATGACAACATCATGAAGCTGGTGGATGTTAGAGACCTTGCGCTCCTCCACCTTCCATTTCAGGATGCCCCACAGATGCTCGATAGAGTTTAGGTATGGAGACATGCTTGGCCAGTCCATCACCTTTACCCTCAGCTTCTTTATCAAGGCAATGGTCATCTTGGAGGTGTGTTTGGGGTCGTTATCAAGTTGGAATACTGCCCTGTGGCCCAGTCTCCAAAGGGAAGGGATCATGCTCTGCTGCAGTATGTCACGGTACATGTTGGCATTCATGGTTCCCTCAATGAACTGTAGCTCCCCAGTGCGTCCAACTGAAACAAGTGATAATAGAGGAAGTGAGACAGATGCTGCAATTAGGGGTCATTGAGGAATTGGTGAACGCTTGGAGAAGTCAGCCGGTCTTGGTACCCAAGCAGGATCAAAGTGTCCGCTTCTGTGTCAATTTCAGGAGGGTCAGTAAGGCATCAAAGTTGGACGCCTACCCCATGCCCCGAATAAATGGGTTGCTGTATCCTCTGGGGCAGGCCCATTTCATTTCAGCCTTAGATCTCACTATGGGATATTGGCAAATCCCATTAACTGAAGAGTCCAAAGAAAAGACGGCCTTTGCCACCCTGTAGGGCTATTTCAATTTAAATAAATGCCATTTGGGTTGCATGGGGCTGCCGCAACCTTCCAGCAGCTTATGGACAAAGTCTTGGGACATTTGTCCCATTGTGCATTGGCCTATATCGACGATATTGTAATATTCAATTGCACCTGGGGGGAACATCTAGACCAGACCTGGGCATTGTACGGCCTGCGGGCCACTTCTGGCCGGATGGCTGACCCTGACTGGCCTGCATGAGGTCACTGGCAAATTAAAAGTCAGTGCAAATATATATCGTCATAATACAGATGCTTACTATGTTAAGCGCTGGGAGATTACATATGTTGTAAATTTGCGCTATATAAGTAAAATTGAATTTATTGCTTTTCATGTAATGTTAATGTTAATGTTTTTGTGAATATTCATTAAATAGTGTTCTGTGCTCCACATTTTCATTGTATCATTGTAATGTTTCATTTGCTGTTTTTATAGAGAAATATATTGAGCAGAGCTGTAAGTGTATTGGTCCGGCCCTTAACAACTGTCAAAGTTTCTCATGTGGCCCCATAGGAAAATTAATTGCCCACCCCTGATCTAGACCATCTCTGGCAAGTATTAATGCAGGGGTCCTCAAACTTTTTGAACAGGGGGCCAGTTGAAAGGTGCTGGTGATGGGTGTGGGACGCCAAGGCAATGCAGGCGGGGGATGCGGGCTGGGCCAGGGGGTGCGTGTGCGGTGAGGCAGGGGCGGGAGTGCACAGAGGTCGTTTTCTCCAAGTAAGTCCAAAGCGATCTCCTTGCAAGACACCGACTTGTTCGCAAGGAGATCCTTTTCTCCGAGTGAGTTCAAAACGATCTCCGCATGAGCAAGCTGCTGCTTCGACGCACGTGCGTGGCAAGTCCAAATCTTCTTTGATGGGCTGGATAAATGGGCATGGTGGGTTGGATCTGGCTTGTGGGCCGTAGTTTGAGGACCCATGTATTAATGGCTCTAAGACAGTCTGGGCTGATAGCTATTCCAGGCAAATGTAGAATAACTTGACAGGAGGTGCAGTATTTGGGGTATATCGTAGGGCACAGGCAGATCCAGCCTATGGCAGATAAGGTGGAGAAGGTAAGCCAGTGGCCATGGCCTCGCACAAAAAGGGAAGTGCAACATTTTCTGGGGCTTGCCAGTTACTATCGGTGATTCATTCCTCATTTCTCCTCCAAAGTGGCTCCCTTGTCAGAGGCGCTTAAGAAAAGGCAGAGCCATACCCTAGTGTGGTCCAGGGAAATGGAGCAAGCTTTTGAAGAATTGAGGACCTGTCTCCTCAGCCAGACTGCTTTACAGTCACCAGATTTCTCTTGGCCTTTTGTCCTCCAAACCAACGCCTCACCTGTGGGTTGGGGAGCAGTTCTGACCCAGGGAGAAGGGGTGGCTGAACATCCAGCATTCTACTTGAGCCATAAGCTGGAGCCACGAGTGCGCCGGTGCTCCACAATTGAGAGGGAGGCTCTAGCCATCAAATGGGCTATTCTAGCTCTGAGACATTATCTCTGGGGTGCCCCATTCACATTGGTCACTGACCATGCTCTGTTACAGTGGCTGAATAGGATGAAGGATGAAAACCCTTGCCTTACCCGTTGGTATTTAGTGTTACAGCTGTACGCCTTTACAGTCGAACATAGACACAGTCACCAACACGCTAACGCTGATTTCTTTTCCCGCCAGGGTGGGTCCCTGGCCCTTGCATGGAAATGGTGATCCCCTCTTGGAGGGGGGGGGTATGTGAGGAGGCAGAGGGTCCCACCCCTTTTTCTGGGACCTTCGACAGAGCAGGGCCGAAGACAACGGTGTAGCTGGGAATCTGTCTGGGGAGAGCAACTCATGAGAAGGCAACAGCCAAGAGACATGGGCGAGCGCGGAGCTGTGTGGGATTGTGGGCCGAGGCAGGAACAGCTGAGTTGGGTGGAGTGATGCTTGAGGAGGGGGTAGAAGGAGGAAGCAGAGGAAGGGAAAGGAAGTGAGAAAAGGAAGCTGAGATGTGTGTGTGTTGTTTGGGAAGAGCTGTTGCAGGCTGGCAGGCCGGTGCGAGAGGAGAGGAGAGGAGAAATCGGGAGGCATTACTGCCGGGGCGATGCTGTTCATTGCCATAGCGACAGGAGGGGAGGGAGCCGGAGCAGGCAAGGGCCAAGGCACTGCGGGAAGTGAACTTGTGAGAAATGTAACCGGAGAATAAAGGCCCAGTGAGTGCACTGACTTTCATGTGTCGCTCTTCATGGAAAGACAAGAAAGGGGCAGCATTAGCTTGCACTCCCCTCCTGATACAGTCACAGGTGGGAGTCAGTTTTTAACTCTCTGTTCTATGCTTGTACTTTGTATTACAACTGGTTTCATTTTTGGGCCGTGTACATTGAAGGCATGGGGATGGGGGTCTGATCCAGAATGGGATTACAGCAGAGCAGGACAATGGGAAAGTCTGGATTAAAGAGAGCTTGTTGAGTGAACCATGGCAGGTTTGTACAAGATAATAACCCACAGTGTCTTGTAATAACCTACTGTGGCTTGGTGTGAACGAGGTCATTATCTTATGCTTATTCAGAGCTTTTTCCTACCTCAAAGAGCATAATTTATTAACTTTTCTATTTTAAAATTAACATGTCATCCTCTTCAAATGAGGCTGCTTGTACATTCAGCTTGATTATCAAAGTCCTGAACATCCAAAAGATTTTCAGTTTTTAGGCACATTTCAGTTGTACAAAAGACAAAAGATCTTGGTCTACTTGCACAAATACTTAAATGTGTAGATTATGTAAATCATTAGGTACATACTTCTATTGATATGTTTTTTAAAGAGAAAAAAAATCTTAGTGATATATTAGAACCTGATAGTGTAGCCAGTCGCTTTGCATAACTTTACAGTATATATATTTGGATATGATTGGTTTTGGGATCATGACCAATGGGGTTGAAATGTGAGACTTCATTAGTTGGAAACTCTTTTGGATTGTGACCATGTATTAATCTATAAAACTAAATTTATTTTTCCTTTATAAATAGATAATAAAACTGTGAAAATAACACCAACAGGAACTCTGCTATTCAGACATTTTAAATATGATATGAGTGGAGTTTACACATGTTCCCTTGTATTTAAGCCAACCGCTGAACAAGATGAAAAGAGTTATTTAATCAAATATGTTATTTATGGTAAGATATTCAAAACTCCTTAATATTTTTTCTTTAAATATTAATTTATTGAAATTATAATGGGAATTCCATTACACAATTAAACATGCATAAGTGTGAAACACACTTAAATCTGATCAGGTTCAGTGGCAATTATGTGTCAGTGGTAATCAATTGTCTGCTACACTGCATCCTTACTGAATTAAAGCAGGACACTTGGTATTTAAACTTCACTGATGAATAACATACTTGTAAACCAAGACAGATTTTTTTTTTAATAATCTCAGTCTGGAATTTTTTAATTGTCAGTTTTATATTTCAGAATATGCAGGATCCTGAACTGAATAACAGAAGAATGATATCGGTTTTCAGGCATATTTTATATATAGCAGCTTAAAATACATCCTTAAATTCCGATGCAGCTTTTTAAGTGATTCTTTTTCTTGCCATCTAGTGTTATATGCAGTAGATATCTGATGTAGTTTTTATAGCTGCATACATAACCAGTGTTAAAAGTTTTGCAGAAACCTATAGCACACAGTGGCCCAGTTCAGACATAATGATGTTGGGCCAATAAAAAGTAGTTTATGAGCCTAAGAACAAATCATATGCCCACGTTTCTCCTCACTTGCATTTGTTTTCTTACTGTTAGTATTGAGCTCATGGCTTATTTATATCAGTTTCTCTTGACATCAAAGTAGAAACTATGGTTTAGCCCCTTTTTATCAATTGTCATATCTTGGTTAGTAAATGAGCCTTAAACTAGAGTTTCTTAATTAGGATGTAACAGAAAACTCTGGGTAAATAAGGCCTGAGATTATTATATCTCAGGCAGGCCTTAGTCTTAATTTGCTGTGACTCTGTTACAAATCGGTAATATTCTTTAATATATTCTATTACTTTTTCAAATTCTGTAAAATTCATATAGGGCTTGATCAGGTCCAACTGAAGCCAATAGAAAATCACCCTTTGTCTTCAGTTGAACATTACTGAGTTATAAGGTATCTTAAATATCTGCATTTCAATAATTATTGATTAAGGAGGGCAGGAGGGGAGGGCATTCCAGATAGCTTAAAAGCCAGACTACCTGTTAAGCTTTCATTAGTTTCCTATTCTGGTAAAGCTTCCGTTTATTCTCCAGAGGCTAGAGATTATCAGGACTGACTCTTTCTTCAATATGAATCTGTGTTACTTCTTGGATTATGCATGTCTATGCCTGTTTTTTCTTTAAACATGTTCCTTTATACTGTCTTATTGCCGTAAAATGGTGGCTTAGGCAGATCTGTATTCTTTAGGTTAGCATTGCAATTGAACAGTCTAGTATATGTGGCATCTTGGAGGAATTTGCTTTTGACCCAGAGCATAGATGCCTCTGCTGAGCAGGAATTTGTGTGAGCATTTCAGAACATTTCTAATACGTTCTCTTGTAAAGCAGCACTTAAAGAAAATACCTGGAGCTGTGGACATGCTAAATCAGGCATTATTTAACACACGCTTAGTGTACAGGGAGGTTTTTCCTTTTGCTTTTAGTCTCTCTGAGATATTCTTATGTACCATTTCCCAGCAATTACTCTTACATGTTGTAACGGTTGGGCAAAGCACCCCCCAACGACTCTGCCATGAATTCCTCCCTCTCAACAGCCTCTAGGGCCCAGAGAGCCCTATTTTGCTTCTTAATAAGCCAAACTGCACTGGATTAACACACAGCAACCCAAGACTTGGGGAAAAGGAGTTTTATTACTCAACATCCACACAACACTGCACTCAGTTACAATTACACAAAGGTAAGAGGGAAGGGTGTGGGAAAGGGGAAAGTGGATAGCAGCTTGCAATCAAATGTTACAATAGCAAGTATTCAAACCCCTTACATCATTTGGCCACCCCAGGCACTAAAACAACAACAGCTAGCTAATCTAAAATCCTCACAACTCTCCCAGTACTTATTGGTCTTATTGAGAGTAGCAGTCTCAAGCTCCAGAGGCTTTGGCATCCGATGGCAAACCTCTCTCCCATCCCAGAAAGGTGCATCGTTTCACTGCTGGCCCTCCTTTTTATCCCTTCCCTGAGCAATCAGGCTCCTTTGTTCCCAGAGGTGTCATCAAGGGGATTTCTTTTAGCTGAACTTGGTGCTAACTTCAGTGGTTTCTTTAAGAGCAGCTCCTTGTATTGCATGACAAACTTATTTTCAGACTGAGGGAAGTTTCAAAAACAATTAGATACTGCCTATGGATCTGCCATTCAAAAGGAGTACGGTAGTGAAAAATATCACAGGAAGTGCCCAAGAATTTGGAGATAGCTAAAGTAGCTGTTTGGATCTTGAGTGTAATTTGTTGCTGAGATGGATTCTATCCAGATAATTATCTTTAAAAAATTAATATAGCAGTAGTTTATTTTCAAAATATGCTGAAGAAATGAAGGTTAAATAGTAATCTTATGTTTTTTCTTCTGCAGCTTATTCTGATCCTAACTTTTACTATGAGTTTTCAGCACGGTATCATGCAGCTGCCTGCCACAGTATCTATAATAATTCTTTTAAAGACAAGCTTCTTCAGATTCTGGCCAAGCTTGTTGTTGAACTGTCCTGTGAGGTTACATTACGCAAGTCAGAATGCCATCATGTAAAAATGCAGAGAGCTGGATTACAAAATGAACTCTTCTTTACTTTTACAGGTAAAATACATTATTCTTTTGAGGAGCTGCTTGAAAAAATGTTTTATGAAGTATTACTGAAAACAGTTTTCCTGTCAGCCAGGTTTAATCAAAGGTTATTTCAATAGTTCTTTAAAATAGAAATCAGTATTCAGTTTCCAGGTACTGTTACATAGTATTTCTCTACTCAAGTAAGAGGAATATAATTCTCCCTTAAAATGTAGTCTCTTAGCAGGAAAAGAATGCAGCTAGTGAATACATGAAATGATCACAGACCATTATGCTAGCCTTGGATCCAAACCTTAAAACTTGTTGTTTCTGTGTTGCCATTGGAAAAAAATGTAGGTGTGGAATGCTGGAATTGGATAAAAATTCTCAACTGGAGATCTTAAAGTGGACATAGAGATAAAGGACCAAGGATATTTTAATACATTCAGAACTAAGAAATTTATTATGGGACAATCTTTTGCAGACTAGAGTCCACTTCATTAGATGCTTGAAGTGTTATTCTTCATTAACAGATGCATGTGGACAAAGGTGTAAAGAGAAAAATAGTAAAAAGGTGGGGTTAACTAGCAGTGAAGTGCAAAGATTACTGTCAATTCAGTTACAGCGTAAATGTGTGTAAAGAAGCACAGTGATCCTTTACATCAATAATAGAGGATAATGCAGCCATCTTAAAAGCGCCAAATAAATTGACGCTTGTAGAAGGGCAGGAAACAGTTGTGACCATTTAGACCATTTTTATTAAGGGAGACCTAATGGCCTTTGTGTCTCCCCTGCATCAGTTGTACATCTGAAGCTGCCTTCTTACAAGCTAGTGGTTATTACATGACCTGGTAAAGTGAGGGTGCTAACTATATGCTTGACCTTTTTTTAAAAAACTTTGCTACTGTTTTTGCTTGGCCACCAAAAGGTAGGAATATAAATTGAAATAAAAAGTAATATATGTCCATTTTAATGTGTGGCAGCATTTGTATACTTGGTGGCAATATCAGTTTTTACAATTTTAAACCTGTGTTAGATTGTTTGTGTCACTCATTTATTTCTGTGATCTTGATTGGAGAGCAAGATCATACTTCACTTATTCTTGTCTTCCTTCTAAGATTGGGCAGGCAGCTTTTTCTGGTACCTGGGCATATTTGCCCATCTGGGCCTGTGGGCATACTTGTCATTCTTGTTATGACAGTGGGCAATATCTTCTTTCCTTGTCCCCTCCTTGGACTTCCTGTTGTCTTGCTCTGTACTAATTCTCCTCTCCTTGTCCCTGCACACGGCTTCTCCAGTTGCACACGGCTTCTCCTATCCCTGAGTCAGTTCTGCCAGCTGTACTTCTTCGTCATGGCCTCTGTGCATCACACATATGGGTTGCTGCGCCTGCGCAGTGCCTAGGCCGGAAGATTAGAAAGCTAACGGTTTTTGGCGGGAAAACTCTGCTCCCCTCCCCCTTCGTGGTATAAATAGAGCGGAGTGTCCGCCATTTTACTCAGTCTTTGCGACCTCCATTCGCTGTGCCTCGTGCCTATTCGTCTCTCGCTATAGATCTGTGCCTCTTCGTTGTTTTTTTCTCAAAAACCTTAAACTCCTCTTGCTCCAAGTTTGTACTTCTTCCTGATTCTGTCTGTTTTCTTCTTAAATTCTCTTCTCTCTATATATAAAAAAGCAAAAAAACAAAACAAAAATATTATCTTACCCTCTATACTGTCCTCTTTCTTCACTTTTCCGCAATGGCGCAGTGGGCAGCATTCCGCAAATGTATTGAATGTGGATCTAAAATGTCGCCAGTTGATCCACATGATCTATGCCTCCTCTGCCTCGGCGAGGGGCATAGGACCGACAAATGCGGTCATTGCTTGGTGTTTACCAAGCAGGCACGGAAAAACAGGGAGAATCATCTCAGGAAGCTCCTATGGGATCACACATTAATGCAGTCTGACCAACTGCTCCTACGGCCTGGTTCCTCTTCGTCCACGCCTCCTCAGCGCTCTTCCTCCACCATGAGTGCTCCGGCGAAGCGTCCTTCCTCGACCTCTGCCGATCCTCCGCAGCGTCCTTCGGACGAAGGCGCCGCTTCTATGGAGGCTCAGTCACTGCCTTCTCCCCCGGCTAAGAAATGGGAGAAGCACAAGCATACCGGTCTGGATAAACCTTCCACCCATAAAAAGTTGAGGAAGGAGAAGGTGGATAAGCCCGCTCGCATGAGCAAGAAACCTGATCGCCCAAAACACCGGGGCTCAGGTTCATCGGGCTTTTCGGTACTGACGGCCACCATGGTACCGACCCCCTTGGGACCAGCCCTGCAACTCGTTATGCAGGTGATTCCACTGGGATCCCCCAGGCCAACCACTCGGCCTGAGAGCGTGCCTCCCCAGCAACAGCAGGAGCCGCTTCGGGAGTCCATCTCTGATGGTGAGATCAGAGACTCCCTGCTGAGGGACCGGTCGCCAACACCTATGCCACCGACTGAACCTCATGTGGCCTCACCATTACCTCCCAGATGTCGCAGCCTTTCATCTGAACATCGAGATGAGAGTTGGTTGATCCCGGAATATGGTGTTCCCCCCGGCTGGGGTGGTTACCAACCATATCCCTATTTTCCTCGGGATCATGAATCACCATTGGTCCTGAGGAACATACTATCCACCTCCAGGCGTATGGAGACGAGGCGCCCAACCTCCTCTGAAACCTTCTCAAGCGAAAACCGGCCACGTTACGTGGAAGACTCCGAGGATTCGGAGGTCGACTCCACATCCCCTGATGTGGCTGTCGCATACCAAGGGCCTGCTTCACTGGACAAACTGCATGTCTCTTTCACAAAGCTCATTTCCCGCTTAGTTCGTTCGCTTGAAATCAAAGCTCATCAACAGCCAGGCCCCTCCACAGATCGGTTTTATGATGTCGTTCGGGGAGAGCAGTCCACATCCATAGCTCTGCCGCTTATAACTACACTCCGCCAGGCTATGGTCCAGCCCTGGGACCAACCGGCCCAACCACAAGCTACCTCCCTCAGATATGAGGCCATATATAGAGTTTGTGACGATGACATTCCCTTCCTGCTCCGTCACCCGAAACCAAACTCTCTTGTGGTTGAATCCTCCCAGGGCAGGGAGTCCAGGAGACATACCGCTCCTCGGGACAAGGAAGGGAGGAAAATCGATATGCTTGCATGCCGAGTCTATGCGGCCTCTGGATTCGGCGTGCGCATATCAAACTACGAAACGACACTGGCACATTACCAGTATTTGACGGTACCAGTCTGTTCCACCAGAAGACCAACCGCAAATTAAAGGTGATTCACGAATCACGCCTAACTGCACATTGCATGGAGCTCACGCAAAAATGTAAGTGGCAGTGGCCTCGGTCTTCCTACCGGAAGCAACCATACTATCCGCGCCAGCAAAACTACCCTCGCCAGCAATACCAACAACGGCAGCATCGGAGACAGCAAACACAACAGCGTTTTTCCCAAGGCCGTCGGCGATTCGATACCGATAAACACCCACGTTGATGGCTTGGGCGAACCATCCTCTCTTTCCCAACACCACCTTCCCTTCTCCCTTTTGGGAACTGGCTCCAGGGCCGACTCCCCATTTGGGAGTCCATTACATCTGATAGGTGGGTGTTATCTATCATCCAGTTCGGATATAGGATAGACTTCGATGTTATCCCTCCTTCGAGCCCGATCCGCTTCACACCTTCTTCATTGGTGCTACGCGATGAGGTCACCCAGCTACTTCTCAAGGGAGTGATTCGACAATTGTCCTGCTCGGAAGGATTGCATGGATTCTATTCCAGATATTTTACAGTCCTGAAAAGGGACAGCGGTCTTCGTCCGATCCTGGACTTACGAACTCTTAATAAGTACATTAAACCAAGGAAGTGCCAGATGACCACTTTGCAAAATATCCTTCCGTTATTGAAAAGAGAGGATTGGTTCACCTCACTGGATTTAAAGGATGCTTATTTTCATATTTCCATCCATCCTTCACACAGACGCTTTCTACATTTTACTGTCAGATCCGACCTGTTTGAGTTTAACGTCCTACCTTTTGGCTTGGCCACAGCCCCTCGAGTCTTTACGAAGTGTATGGTGCCGGTATGCACACACTTGAGGACATGGGGAATACAGATATACCCATACTTAGACGACTGGCTAATCGTCTCGCAATCCGAGCAAGCTCTCCTGTCTGATATACAAATGACCTGCGCTCTACTCGATGCTCTCGGTCTCTGCATTAACTGTTCCAGAGTGGGCGTCGGGCCCGGATCGATGGGGGATGCTCTTATGGTCCCTTGGAGCAACATGACTTTTTATGTGTTTCCCCCGATCCCACTCCTGACAAGAGTGGTTGCGAAAATAGCCCAGGCCAATGCCATGGGGATACTAGTGACTCCATGGTGGCCGAGACAACCATGGTTTGCCACTCTTTTGCTGCTGTCCAGAAGAACGTTCCTTCATCTACCAACTCTTCCGCATGTGTTAACACAACAAGGAGGAGCAATCCGTCATCCGGATATACTCTCTCTGAAGCTGACGGCATGGTGGATCACCTGATTCACGCCACTGAGTCGGTACCGGGGACACCTCACCCTATGGGTGACCTTACTCAACAGACGGTATATGCGGCCCCAACTTCGGATTCGACAGCAACTGGCACGGTACCGATGCCTACGGATAGAGAAATTCAGGCGATTCTCAGATCTGCATTGAGACCGTCCACTCGTCGTTCCTATATGGCTAAATGGAGAAGATTCTTCTCTTTTGCAGAGTGCCATTCTTTTTCCCCTGGAACAGCTTCAGTCACCAATATCTTACAATTTCTCTTGCATTTGCATCATGAGGGACTTAAACCATCATCCATCAAAGTTTATGCAGCCGCTATATCCCATTATCGTGGAATTATCCACGGATTATCAGTCTTCTCCCAGCCGCTGGTTCGGCATTTCATTAAGGGACTACAAAATTTACATCCGTCTATTCGCCCTGCCATGCCAACGTGGAGTCTTTCTGTAGTGCTCCAAGCGCTTACCAAACCACCATTCCAGCCTTTAGCAACTGTGGACTTACGCCTGGTGTCATGGAAAACTGCCTTTCTCGTAGCAGTTACATCAGCACGGAGAGCTAGCGAAATTTGTGCTGTCCGCATAGACCCACCATTTCTGAACTTCCATAAGGAAAAAGTTGTCCTTCGGATAGATTTCTCCTTTTTACCCAAGGTGGCCACACCATTCCACCTGAATCAGGACATCGTTCTGCCGGCATTCTTTCCATCGCCATTGACCCCGATAGAACGTGCTCTACACACGCTTGATGTTCGCCGTTGCTTGGCCTTTTACAGATCCTGCACTGAATCTTTTCGTACTACTAATAGACTTTTTGTTAAATACTCCAAGCGTGAAAAGGGATCACCGATATCATCTCAGAGACTCTCTAATTGGATCGTCCAGACTATTGTCCTGGCTTATCAGCTATTGAAAATAGACTTACCTGTCTTTCCAAGTGGCCACTCTACACGAGCAGTAGTGACCTCATCTGCTTTTGCCGCAGGGGTTTCGCTGCAAGACAGCTGCAGAGCTGCGATCTGGGCTGGTCCATGTACTTTCGCCAAGCACTATCGGCTTGATGTACGTGCCAGACAAGACTGCTCTTTTCGTAGAGCTGTTCTCTCATCCGTTCTTCGCTGACAACACCTCCCTCCTCCGACTGTGGTAAGCTTGCGAATCACCCATATGTGTGATGCACAGAGGCCACGACGAAGAAAAGCAGGTAACTGCTTTTACCTGTAACTGATGTTCTTCGAGTGGCCATCTGTGCATTCACACAACCCACCCGCCGGTCCCACTCGGTGTCGGTGAGTGGATCTCGTTTTTCTCGGTACCGTACTATAAATTGCATCGGTACCGTTTGGGTTATGTCACTGGGTGGTTATTGTTTTCAGTACCGAAATATAATTTGCATTGGTACCGTTGGGTTACATCGCTGACTAGATATTGTTTTCGGTACTGTACTATAATTCACATCGGTACCGTTCAGATATAATTGTGTTTTCTCATTACTTTTATTCTTAACCTCTAGAGGGCGAACGTGCGGTCTTCAAGACTGAGTAAAATGGCGGACACTCCGCTCTATTTATACCACGAAGGGGGAGGGGAGCAGAGTTTTTCTGCCAAAAACTGTTAGCTTTCTAATCTTCCGGCCTAGGTACTGCCTGGGCGCAGCAACCCATATGTGTGAATGCACAGATGGCCACTCGAAGAACATCAGTTACAGGTAAGCAACCTGCTTTTCTTATATACTTACATGCATACTTCCCTCCACTGCATCTACAAGCCACCCTTGCTTACTGTCTCTCCCCTCCTGTTTTTCAACACCTCTTCTCACACATACATCCGTTATTTTTGCCAGCCACCTACACTGCTGTATACTACTTTTCCTGCCCACCTGCCCACAGTCTAGCCTCCTTGTACCTGTGCTGTTGATTTGGTCTTTCAGCCCCAGTCCTCTTTCTATGCCTTACATGGAGCCAGACCATTGGCCAACCGAGTTCATTACTGTAGGCTGAACCTGGCAAAAATCCTTCCAAGACCTGCTATTTCTTAACTGGAGATAATGATGATGAGTTTATGAGCTCTGTTGCTGAGCTGTGACCTTATCACATACTCCTAGTAAACAGTTCTTCTTATCTAGAGTGTATGGCTATATACACAGTGAAGCTGATACTAGTGAAGTAACAGGTTTTCAGTTATGTAGATGTGAGAAAATATTTGTCAGATACCTAAAGTTTATTAAAAAAAAACACCTAAATGTAAAGGCTTGCTTTGAGATGGATAAGGCTAATGTCGTTTAGAAAAAATAATGCTTATGCTGCGACGTGTGTGTGTTTTCCCTTATAAAGCAGAACCTTTTCTATAGTTTCTTCTCTAGATGCAGACAAGAGCAAAAGTTCATGTCAGAAAAGCTTATGTGATGTATCAAGAAGATTACGAAAGGTAGCGTAGATCCATCTGAAAAAGAATAAAGATCAAAAGGAGCTGCTCACCCTTACTAGTTCTTTTTCATTCTAAAAAGTAGACAAAATGGCTTTAATATTCTTTCTGCTTACTTGGTGATAACCAAATAGAAGTTGGGTAAAGGAAAACAGGAAACTTCATGGTTGAGCTGGGACGCTGGTTGACTTTAGCAGTTACAGAATAAAAAGACAAGTCATCTTATGAATCAGTAACTGGTTAAAGAACAGGAAGCAGAAAATAGACAAACACGTTTTTGCAGGAGAGGGAAATAAGTGTAGAGTCCTGCACATTTTTGTATTGATTCCAGTGTTCCTTAATTTCATAAATGATCTGAGATTAGAGTGATTAGATGAAACTCATTTGTTCAGGATGGCAAAAACTCAGGCACAAGTGCTCTAAAGTACCTCTGAAGTAGGTGAATGTGCAACAAAATGGTGAAGAAGGTCTGCATAACTGCAAAATGATCAACACTGAAGGACAAAAACCCCCCAACACATTTACACTGATGGGGCCTGAACTGGTAGTTATTAAACAGCAAAGAAATGTTGGAGTGTATAGGTATGCACTGTATAACCTAGCCATGGCCCCTCCAAAAAAAAAAAAGAAAAGAAAGAAAAATCAGCAAAAGGGGAGAGGGAGCAGGAGAATGTCCACTGAGCCATTGTTTTCTTTGCACACAAAAGTTGATGAAGTGATTAAACGAGTACCATGAAGGGCTTTGCTCTATGCAGGCTTTCCTAGCCAGGGAAGGCCCAAGTGGAGTGAAGGCAGCTTCTTAACTTAGGCACTAGTTGGAGGAACAGTTCTTCAGCAAGTAAGGGAAGCCGGAAAAGAAAGGGGATGAGGAGTAAGTAAAGTTTGGGGACTCTTCTCTGGCTCAAAGGACATGGTTTTCTGGATGTGCCTGAATATCAAACATAGCAATGAATTCTTCAGATTTTCTTGAACATGACTATTCAGACTCACTTCAGATGCACTGGTTCTTGCTTGGATTGTATCCAGTCATGACTAACGTAAGTCCATTCATTTCAGTGGACTTACTCTAAGTATTGGCTATAACCCCTTGTGTCCTCTCTGAACTCTGTGGTATGCCGAAGCCATTGTATCCAAACTGGGCAAACTCTGACTTGTGCAAAGCATAGATCGCCTGCATGCCATAACTGGAAAATAAGATCAAACTGTGATTGCCAGTTCTGGTTTGCAGGCAATCATGACTTCTGCAAACCATAGATTGCCTGTTTCTGATGTAATGGCAGACTGGTATTTACCATGAAAGGAAAAGGAAAAGTTTCAGATGAAACCTGCGACATTGCGATTACAGTTAAAGATTTCACTCTGTCCCTTTGGTGATGTTTTGAAAGATTTGAAACAAATGCATGTTTGCAAATCTAACAAATTAACTTACTTCTATTACATGTACTTCATTGTAATAAATATGGTACTTGCAAAATATTAGCACATAATTTATTGCATTAATAAATTCTGTATGGTATTTTCATCTTGTGGATTAGAAAAGTATAACTTTTTATATTTCCCCAAGAAAACAATTTCTCTTCACTTCAGGCAAGAGACCTAATAGAGAGATTTTTTAGCCAACAAGTTGAGGTTATTGGACGGACTGAACCACTGCCTGAGATCTACTATATTGAAGGCACTCTGCAAGTTGTATGGGTTAATCACTGTTCACCAGGATATGGAATAAATTCTCAACTACATCCAGATTGCCCTAACTGTTGTGGTAGGTCAGAAGTATAAACAATTCTACAGATAATAAATCTGTATTTTTAAGAAGTACCAGATTGCTTTTTATTGAAATAGAATCAACAGTTGCATTCGTTGTACTGTGACCTTTTCAGGTAATGTAGCTCATGCAATGGTTGCATAGGTTTTTTTCAATGGAGGAGACCTGCCATTGATACTTTGAAAATGGGCCACATCCAGCTGTGTCATTCTGCAACCTCAGATAGCACTCGTGGAACTCCACCCAGTATTTCTATTACTCAGGTTCTTGTGCAGTCACTTGATCATACAGAGCTTAACTTCAGTTCTACTTTTGCACATAGTTTGAAGCCTAGTTTCTGTTACTGCAACATTTGTTGTGGTAGTGAAATGACAGAACTGAATAATGGCCCTGTGTAATTCATTGCTAATTAATATGGTTACTAATTGGTTAATATGGTACACTTCTTGGTAGGCACTTAAGATTTCTCTGCAGTTGATGGCCTCTAACATACATGCTATTATGCTGGAGGTATCTTCAATAAGTATGCAAGTGTTTATAATTATATAAGCATATGATCATCACATCTGTTTCTATTTAGATAGATATAAAATCTGTTTATAGGTGTGGCTATTTAACTAGCTTGATTTCATATCTTTTGTGTTAGATTAGAATAATATTTTGGGTTCTATCAAGTGGTGTTTGTCAGTGGAACAGTGGATCTTATTCCTGTGCCTCCCAAAATCTGCTCTGAAGGGTCATTCTACAGCAGTGTGGCACCATGCGGGGTTACAAAGAAGAAGAGAGGAATGGGAATTTCTGTTGCATTAGCAGAAGTCTTCTGTGTACTGTTGAATATTATTTCTTATACTGAAAAGGCTGTGTATTAAGGCATCATTTATGTTGAGTTGATTATGACTGAATGGAAGTTTGGCCGGGGGAGAGGTAATTCAGTGTCCTTAATGCACATAAGCCTCCCAAGTTTGGAGGTTTCCATATCCAGTGCATGGAGTGAAGTGTGACAAGCCATCTTTGGTGCTTTGTACCTTGCATTTCATCTAGATAGCCATATTTGGCTTTCTAGATGAAGCCCCATGAATGGGGAAGGAAGGAGGTTGGGGCAAGTGTGGATGCAGCTTAAGCTGCAGCCTCCTCTGCTCTGCATCATGTCCCTTTTCCTCCTCTTTGAGTCTGATTTCCAACCTTGGGGATACAGCTAGCACAGTTTTTCTATGTTGGATGTAGGAAGGGGGCTGTTTATTGGGCTTTGAGGTCACAGGACCTTGGAGCTACAGCTGCATATAATGCTATATTCTCCCCCACCCCCACCAAAATGTTAGGACATCATAGATTGGTGCCCTAAGAGACTTAAAAGAATTGCAGCTCTGTATTCTACACTGAAATAATTGTAAATTGTATTGCCAGAGCAAGTGATATTTGGTGGTATGAATGAGAGAGAGAGAGAGTTTCTGAATTTTTATGAATTATTTTTAAAAGCCACTCCGATGGATATGAGTGTTTTTGCCAGTACTGTGGTCCTTCTACATGAATCCTATCTGAATTTGCAATTTCTAGTTCCAAGGCTCATATTCTGTGAGTGGTGTGGTATACTTTTGTTACATTTCATCCAATATGGATAGACTTTTATGCTGCAAGGTGCAGTCATCCAGGTCGGACCTGGAGCACTGAAGCAAGATCCTTTATTATGAAAGAGCCTTCAAAACATGCCTTTATGGTGTGATTTCAGAGGAGAAAGGAAAATGGCATTTGTTTATAATATATTGAATAATGTAATATGTATTGCATTAGTTCTGAGCCTAGGAATTGAAGAGATAATGTCAGGATACAAGAGCAAATTAACATGTTTAGTGCACTAAAAGATTTGTGAGCTGTGAAATAGCAAGGTAAGAACCCATAAAATATATGAGGTAGGATAGTTTGTGGTGTTTAAACCTGTCAGGTTGAAATAGCACCAAGAAAGTTTATGTCTTACAAAGACAATTGAGATGTAGTTTGTTTATTGTGTAAAGAAATTTTGTTTACTTTCTCAGCAGTGAGCTAAATAAGCACCAGGTCATCTATTGAGGTTTTTCACCTTTGCTTGTCTTCACCTAGATCCAAAAATTATGTTGTTCATACAAATACAATTCATTTGGTCATTGAAGTTCTGTTGTTTGCTCTACTGGATATTGCCAGAGAGTCCTATAAATGATTGTATGAAATCTTGGGATAACTTCAGATGTAATAGTCTTGGTTTAATAAACAAAGAATTATTAAGCTGGGAGTGCACATTGTTCCTGCATGTTCTTTCTCTTCTCTGAGATTAAAATCATGGTGCCCTGGTTTGGATTACGTAGGAAATTATGTTTTAACAAACTCAGGAAATCTTTCATTCTGGCACATGAGGAATGTAGACAGGGCACGCAACTTGTTCTTTGCTTAATAAGCAGTGGTTAAGTTGAAATGGGAGTAGAAACTGGGGAGAAAATATCTGGTGCTACAATCATTCTGAAACTTTGAAGAACCGTTATTTGCTTGTGTACTTACTACATTATAACTTGGTCCCTGGGGTATGATTTTTTTAAAGCAAGAGCTGAGCAAAAGTAGTCTTTTCTTAGTGTTGCTCAAGCTTTGTTTGTTGTTGAAAGTCACATCATTGTTGGATTTGCTTTTTACAGTCTCCCCAAAATCTTGTCATGTTTTCATCAAAAATCTTGGTTCTAGAATTAAAGTGTAGAAAAGTGAAGAATGTAAATGCTCAGCAGCTTGCATGTCCTTGGAAGCAAGGGAACGGTGCATTTCATGACTGGATAGGATCCTCACAAGAGTTGGGCCGTCCTAGTGGTAGGGGTGAGGCTTACAAAGGAACAGTACTGAAACACTGGTTTGTTTCACTAAAGCTGATGCTTTTGTCCAAGTCTGTGTTATGACTACTATCCAGGAGAATTTGGACAAAGAAGAAACTCGATTTTCATACCATTTGCTTACATGGTTGATGACAGTTTTTCTTCTACCAGTCTTTCTTTGTTGCTATGATGAATCCCCTTTGCAACTGGAAGTAGCCAATGATATCCCATCAGCCAAGGATGCATGCTTAGTGCCTTGTTTTAGTGACTGAAGGCACACCCACACAGTAGACATAGGGCCAAACCCTACATGACAGTGTTGCCCAGGTCAGGTCCCATGTTCAGGCGTGTTTGTCTAGCCCTGAGTCTGTCCTGGATGGTGTTTGGGCTGTGGTATCAAGGGATGTGTGGGGGAGGAAAGCTGAACCTGCTGCTTACCTCCATGTAGTTTCTCCTTCACATCCTTTTCTCCCAGCCAGACTTGCTTCTGTTACTGGAGCTCAGGTGAGGTGAGGATAAAATGCCTGGTGGCAGATATTGTAGGGAGTAAGGCAAAGCTTCAGGAGGAATTAGAACACAATTGTAAGTCTTACCATGTTGAATATGTGAATAGCTCTTTCCTTCACAGAGCTGTGAATATTAAACAAGCAGAGAAGTGGAGAAAGGCAAAGAATCTCCTAACAGCTGTCCCACTCTTCACTCCCCAGCTTTGTTTGCTTTTTGGTGGAAAGGCTATGGTATAAAACATTGTGTTAAAGCACCATAGGGCTTAAAATGATAACTAGGAGGTACAAGGGGGTATTGTGAAACTGCTCTAGGAAGCAAGGATTAAAGCCCTGCAGTGCATGCTCTAGACACCCTTTCAAAGGTCAAGCCACAGGTGCTGTGGGAAGGAATTCTCTAGCAAATTGCTGTTTTCATTCCCTGCTGGAAAAGCTAAGTAAAGCAACTGTTAATTGCTGTTGAGTCATTTAAAACAAAGCACTTGAGAAGATCGAGTCTGGAGATCCTTCCTAACCCCCTCTGCAGAAATGAGATAGCTCAAGAAGTTAGTCACTAGACTCAGTGCAAGATAAGCTAACACAGGCAAAGATGTCCTTGCAAGCTACTGTTCAAATGCCAGTCTAGTTGCGCTCTAAATGGAGCTTGCTTAGTTCAAATTTGCCTGCCAAGATTTTTGCTCACTAGGTGGAGCTAAAACTGTTTAATACAAATTTGAACATGGTATATCCTAAACACATTACAGCACAAGACCTACTGAAAATGGAAAATGAGCAGGTTATATGCTAGGAATTGGAGTCTATAAAACTAGATTCTCGTCCCTTTGGGACAATGGACCAAGAGGGATATTACCACAGTACTTGAGTACATAATGCACAGGGGTTGTATTTGTCTTTTCCATGTATTGCTGGTTCAGCAGAGTGCCCCTTTCAGAAATCCATGTGAACATTCAAAGGCTGAATGAAGTGTGCTAATTGCACAAGTTTGGGACCGCATGTTTCCAAACGTAATGGGTGGCTTTAGGGCTGCATCATCTCATTGCCTTTTAGAGTCCTCTTCTTGCTGCAGGGAGTGTTACTTGCTTAGTAAATCCTGTTATTCGAATCATGATACCATTAATAAAGTTTTCTTAAAACAAGCATTTCTTCCAAAATGCAGAGCAGGTCATAATAGAGTTAAACCTGTGGCCCATTTAGGTCTGTATTATCTACTCAGACTTCTAGCAACTCCCTAAAAATTTTCAGCTACAGACCTACCCAGTCCTGCTACCCTAATGGTTTAATAGGACATGGCATGATTTGAGACTGGAATCTTTATTCGTATAAATGGTTGAATCTGATTGCAATTAAACTCTCAGTGGATAGGCTGTAAATGCATTTTATAGTACTTTAATGTTTTAATACTTTTTGTTACAGTGGTTTGCAGTCCAGGATCATATAACCCTCGTGAAGGAACTCACTGCCTTCAGTGCAACAAAAGTCTGTCTTATGGAGCAAGACGGTGTTGACTGAATGTCACCATAAACCTTTTGCAATATGTGGTAGCAGTGATGTACTTTATATTTTGGTAATAAAAATAAAAGGATTTTTCAAAACTCCAGTTAAATGTGTATTACGTCAGTAATAATGGTTTACATTACATTAATTATTGCATCAGGCTTAATGATGAATAGTAGAAATAACCTAACTTGTTTTGTTGTGCCTATTAATTTCTCATACTGTTTTGTGCATCTCATGTATTTAACAAGAGGGGTTTTTAAAGTATGTCTGCTCTTAAGATCTTTATTAGGCATGAACTGATCCAGTAAAGCTTGAGAATGCTCATCTTGATTTTATCAAGCTGTACTGTGGTACATATGATATAGGAGGGGCAAAACATATGCAAACCTACTCAGCCCTCATGATCTTGGGCCAGCAATGAATAGTCTAAATGCTTAAAAGTTGTTATGTTCAGAGCAAATGGGCTAGTCCCATGCTCCTTTCAGGTTATTGTTGGGATACAGATGTGACACGCAGTGTTCCACAAAATGTAGCTAAGACTGTTTTGTTTTTGCACTGGGAGACTGTCTTTCTGTTTAATAGCACTATGGAAGAGAAAGTGTAAGCACTACTCATAAAATTAATTTAATTGCGGGACATGTTTTAATTGTTTATGTTTAATTTAATTGTTCATGTTATTCCAGGGTTGGGACCCCTGAAGTTGTGATTTCCAAGTCTCTCTCTCATGCATTTTAGCTCAGGAAGTTATTGTTTCATTTTTTTCTTCCTGTGTGGATGATGCCAACTTCTTCCACTGAAATAAATAAAAATTCTTATGTATGTAAATTGATCCGTGAATGCATGTTAACAGACAGGGATATTAATAATATTTGTTGGTTTCCTGAAAGGTGGTCCTATGATGACTCAAAGAATTGAAGTTCTTCATTTGGTTCTGTATAGCTTCATCATGTTATGCAGACAGTGATGTATGAGGAAAAAACCCCCAAAGAACCAAGGCTGAAGAGAGTGCATCTGGAGCAACACATGTGGAACAGTAACAGAGGCTACAGTACACTAAAGTTTTTGAAACAAAAGGGTTGGTTGAAATGCTTAATGCAAATCTTGGGGAATTAAAGCACAATGGCTTTGCCATTGCACAGTAGGAGGAGGTGAAAGAATCCATTTTAGAAGGAAAAATTAGCATAGTGATCATGTCCTGGGCTTGTTTCTGAGTACCTGAAAATGTAACTTCTTAATCATCTATAGAGGTGTCTTCTGCTGCTCCCTTTCATTCATTTGTTGATGACTTCTCTTAGCTGAACTCTCAGTTTTCCATGAGATCTGGTATATATGTTCCCTTATCTTTTCTGTTGGTTTCCTCAGTGGGACTAAGCAAGCCCTTCCAGCCCATATTCATTTCCTGTTTACACTGCTCTATAGTGTAGCTTTGTTGGTGATTCTCACTTCAGCCTATCGAGGTAAGGCTGCTCCACAAAACCCAACATACAGCTTCTGAATACCCTGAAGTTCCTGATCCTGCATAATCTTTGGAGCCAAGCAGGTTCAGCCCTGATTGAAATCTACATGATGACTTAACATGGTGAACATAACTGTCCAGAGAGCTTCAGCTACAGGTGGTATAGAAATGTAATGAATAATAATGATAATAACAAGGACATGCAGATAGAGTGGTGTTTTCTAGACCATTTGTTCTGTTCATGTGGGATTCAGAACCCTCAAAGAACAGTGGGTTGCTTTTCTGTATCCCTGGTGGATATTGTGTGCAGTCATATAGGAAACTTGGAGGGGAGTGAACATTAGTAAGCTAGTGCGCCTTATCTTCCAGGTTTCTAAAAGATCTGCCAAGTGGTCTAATGCAGGTAATGGACTTCCTGTGTGGGAATATCCAGTTGAAGAGCAGTGGGCACGCGGGAGCAACACTATTTTATGGAAATTTTCAGATTGACTAGCATGAGTGCAGGTTGCAAGGAAGTAGCTTAGTGCAGTTTGTTTGTTTATTTATTTATTTATTGGGAATTTTTGTATGCCGTCCCATTTGCATAAGCCTTGGGACAGCTTCCAACATGATTAAAATGAGGATGTTTTGTGTTACACTGCACATAGCATGCACAAAAGAATTTGGCACATTGCTGATTCAGTTATAAAATGGTTCCTGCAAGCTGCTTCTGCTATTACTCTGGCACTTCCAGAGTAACCTGTCAAGTGACCAGTACAAATTACTATAACTTAAACAAGATAAATTTTTAGGACTGGTTTTTCCAGCTAATAAAAATTCCAGTGAAGTAGCTAATCTTCCTGTGGCAAAGGGCAGTCTTAGCCTGGTGCTGAAGAGATATTAAGATTGGTACCTGGCAGGCTTCAGTGGGGCATTTGCTCCATAACTGGAGAAGTACCACTGAAAAGGCCCTTTCTTACCACCAACCAAGCCTTCCTGAAAGGTGGCAATTTGAGCCTGGTCCCAGATTTTCATTGTGGTATCTGGGCAGATGGTGGGAGAGGTGTTGGGTCAGGATTTGTGGTCCCAAGCCATGTAGGGCGTTAAAGAGTTAAAACTAGCACCTTAAATTGGACTTGGGTGCATATAGGCCATGGGTCCTCAAACTACAGCCTGCAGGCTGGATCCGGCCTGCCATGCCTATTTATCTGGCCCACCACAGAGGTTTTTTACTCGCCACATGCATGCGTGCCTCGCTGTGTGCGCGCCCAGTGCCAGCTTGCTTGCAAGGAGATTGTTTTGGACTTGCTCAGAGAAAATGATCTCCGTGCGTGCCTGCCCCTGCCTCACCGGACCCGTGCGCCCCTCACACCAGCTTGCGCCCCCCGCCTACAGCGCCTTGGTGCCCATCGCCAGGACCTTTCAACTGGCCCCCTGTTGAAAAAGTTTGAGGACCCCTGATAGGCAGTACAAGTGGGCCAGAATTTGTGTTATATGCTCTGAATATCTCGTCCCTGTTATTAATCTGGCTGCTGCATTTTGCAGTAGCAACAGCTTCTGAACAGGCTTCAAGGGTGGCCCCATTTAGAGTGCATTGCACTAATCTAGATTAGAGATTAAGCCCTTTGGTTCATTATATTTTGCCTCCCCTTTCCCCCTCTTTCCTAGATAAAAGGCATTCAAGAAGTTTATATCTTACTGTGTAACCTTTGTTGTTTGATAGGGAATCTCACCAGTTTCCTTGCTGGTTTTCTCACATATTTTTATCATCGTTTTTCCATCAGACACTCTAGAGGTAAATTACAGTTGGTCTTATGAAACTTTTCTTCTGAGCAATCTCAGTTTGACTGTATTTCTACATGGAGAGGGAAGGTTTGAATAGCTTCTATTTCATTTTACAAACTTTGTGAGTAGACCAGTTTCTGTATATTACCAGGTAAGAAGTCAAATGCTGTTCGGAAGCTCACATTTAGATTTCTCCTAATCTTCTTAGTAGTGAGAATAGAATTATATGGAAGATTGGTTTATCAGAATTAAGGAATCTGATATTGCTAAATCTATGGGAAATTATTTGCAAGAAATCCCCCTTCTGTTTCTTCCTCTGAGTATGAGTTTCCAAGAATAACACACACACATACTCAAAGCCTTGAAGCCATTTAAAAGAATTGCAACTCTTCATGAAGTTGCAAGTTTTAAATTATCTTTCTTAAAGCATCTATAATGACTAGGTTTTTAAACAGTTTATTTCCAGACTAATAAATAAATGCAGAAAGCATAATTAGGATTAATAGAATGATACGTTTATTGCTGGAACATTAGTATAAACAGCATAACTAATATTTAGCAGAATATATAAAATAGCTATTTTTATCAAATGTCATTTCAAAATAACTGGAGTGGCGGAGGGGGGGGGGAAGCTTAAGCAATAAGAAATTAATCTCCAGTTGAAATCCACCAATGATAAATTCATAGACAGTCCTCATTTTATGTTGCAAGGGACAAACAGAATGAAGGGGAACCCCCCCCCCCACAAGTGCTGTTACATTAAATTCAAAGCACATCACATAATTTTATCATCTCCAGAATGAGCCTACCACACTGACAATAACTTGCTTAGCATTGGTTTGATTTATCAGTATTTCATAAAACACAGGAGAGAGTGAATTTTGGCTTCACAAATACAGAAACTTTTTTTTCAGTCACTGGTTACCACATGCTAACTAATGTAAGCCCATTGTATTTTGTAAGGAGTTTTGGCCCCAATCTAGTGCAGACAACTAGTTACAGAACAACTGGAGGCCCGTGTGAAGATGTTCTTTTCAAGTACATGGAAAAATTCACCTGGCTAGTTCTGTTGCTCATACAGGCCATACAACAATGCAAATATGCATTCCCACAGGGTATCCTGTTTCTATATATGGGCTGCCATTGCTGGGCTGGAGCATTATTTTGTAATTGAAATTTTTAAGGCAATAGAGATGCAGAACAAAGCAGTGTCTTGGCTTGCTTGAACTTTTATCAAACATGTATAGTCAAATGTATAAAGCAATCTAATGTTTTTTCAGAATAGTGCAATTGATAAACCATTACCTCGCCTGTAGCTTTTTAAAAATAATGCAAAACTACTTTTTGTGAATACTGAATTAAGAATGAGCCAATACAGGATGTTTTGCTTTGATAATAGCTATAGTCAGTTAAGGACTTACTTATTTCTCAGGGCAAATAGTGTAAAGCTGTCAAAAACAACAACAACAAACCAAACTTGCTATTATTCTTGGATAAAATCTGGCCTGCCTGGCTGAACTGGGGCAGCTAAAAGACTTGTGTTTCATTTAGTATGATTGGTGAGATCACATAAGAGAAATGATGCTGTGTGGGTTTGTATATCACATTATGTCAAAAGGCTTTGAAAGAGGCATCAGTCAGGTGGGCCTGTTTTAGATTCTTTCATCCAGACTTCTCCTATTTTGTATATCAAGGGTGCCCTGTGCCATATGCTTTATATATCTGACCCTTTGCCACACAGATGCATTACATTCTCTTATCTTAAACCACCCTTGATCCTCCAGTAAA